CAAAATAAATGCTAAGATAAAGAAGAAGATTAATTAATTAAAAAAAAGTATTTGTTAAATAATGGAAAATATTACAAGGATTCAAGTCAGCATCGTCAATTTAGAATGAGGCTCATTAGCAATTAATGGCTAATTTAAACACAAAAAGTTTAGAGAATAATTCTTTAAAGTGTCTATAGTGAAGGCTTTTGCATCGTTCTTTTTCTCCAAAGAAACCTAATTTCCTTTCTCCATGGGAATAATGTGTAAATTTCTCATTTTGGGCATTTTATACTTCCTTGAAGGTGGGCTTATCGAGCTTGATCAACTGTGTAGAAGATGGCCCCTGTACCGTCTCGGTCGTGGGCCGACACATATCCTCGGACTATGTCCGATGCCGTTACGAGGTATACTCGGTTTAGCCTTTTCGCCTTACAGGCTCAAGGCTGGAAGGCAAGTGTACCGTCTCGGTCGTGGACCGACACATATTCTCGGCCTATGTCCGATGCCGTTAAGAGGTATACTCGGTTTAGCCTTCTCGCCTCACAGGCTCAAGGCTGGAAGGCAAGTGTACCGTCTCGGTCGTGGACCGACCTGATCTCCTTAACGGTGATAGGGCGTCAACAGCCCTATACTCGGCAATTACCCGACTAGGCAACCAGGCCCTAAACCCTCTCGCCTTGTGGGTACTCGGAAATAAGGTGACCATGATTTCCTTCTCGGCATTAACCCGACGTAGGGTTCAGTACAAGCCTATTCGGTCATAGCCCGACTTGGCTTAGCGAGCTCGATTCCTCTTGCCTACCAGGGAACCACTCGGCACTTATCTCGTTGGATTTTCGGTATAGGCCCTGTCGGTCAGACCCCGACTAAGCTCGTTCCCGTTGATCTCGCATCATCGTGATAAGAACAGTTAGGGAAATCCCTTGATCCTCCGGGTCCAAGAGGCCCACGAACAACGCACCATAAAGCCTGAAACCCTAGAGTTGAGACGACAGAACACACTTTTGAATGCTCTGGCTTTGAGGCACGACCTAGGAAAAAACCCTAGTCCACCCCTTGGCCGGAACAAAACAATATAATAAAATATAAAAATAAAAAGTAATAATAAAGTAATCCTATAATTTAAAGAAAAATAAAAATATCATTATAATATATAAACTATATTAATAATAGTATTCCAAAAATGAAAAAATAAAATAAAAATTATAGCGTGTACAGAATCGACTTTTTTTTTTAATATATCAATTTTTTTTTTATTTTTCTGAATAACCTCACCCCCATTTTATTTACCAAAATGACCCATTTACTGTTTAAGGTGAGAAATCGGTTAAGGGGGAACCGATTTCTCACCTTCAGTTTCTCAAAGTTAGAAAACAATGCAGTGAGAAATCGGTTGTACGTTAACCGATTTCTCAACTCCATATTTTGTTTTTTTTTTTTTCGTTTTTGGTTTTTTTTTTCGTTTTTGTTTTTTTTTTATATTGTTTTTTTTTTCGTTTTTGTTTGTTTTTTTTTTTTCGTTTTTGTTTTTTATTTCGTTTTGTATTTTGTTTTTTATTTCGTTTTTGTTTTTTTTTTCGTTTTTGGTTCATTTTTTTTGTTTTTTTTTTCCAGATTTTTAATTTTCTTATTTTCATATTTTAATTATAATTTTTTAAAATTTTTAGTATTTTTTAAATAAAATAGTTTAGTTAAGTTTTTAGAATAAAAATAATTAATGAAATAATTATTAATTTTAAATTATAAAAATGTATTTAAAATTAAATTTAAAGAATAAAATTGAATAAAATTAATTTTAAATAGAATATTTAAAAAAGAAAATATTATGATAAATGACAACTTTAAATAAAAACAACATTAATTGAGATGAACAACTTGAAATAAAAATAAAATACAATAACAAAATAGGAGATCGAATAAAAAAGAACAACAACAGAATTACAATCCAGGAAATTACAATCCAACTTTAATGATGTCTATGTCCACCCGTTCCACACCTCGGAGGTTGTCGGTTCCTTGTTGGGTTTCGACGACCAATGCGTGGTTGTTGTGGTTCAACCTGGTCCTCGTCATGTTCTATATTAACAGTATCGGTAACTGGATTTGACGAACCACTTCCACCGACCTCA